ATCTACTCTTGACAATTATTCCACTTGTTTGTCAACGGTCCACTCCAACTGTTCCTACAAACAAATTGCTTATGCAAAGTCTGTGAGAGATTCCCCCCGCGTGTCAAGCTCAAGGGGGACGTGCGCTGTGCGTTTCGCCATGAAGCAAGGAGAAAACTGACACCTGATGCAGTGAGAGCCAACACACCGGCGCCAGCTTTGCACACAGTGTCACACCTTGCTCTACGCTCGCTCTCCTAAGAGATCAGACCCTCTTGAGCCAGTGGCTAACAAAGATCCACCTCGAGTGCTAGGTTCATTACGCAACCAATTTTAATCTGACAGGCAGTGTGCCAGGGAACCTTTGAACGAGGACAGTGGGCCGATTTACCTTGGTCGCTGCTGATGTGGAACACAAGGGTGACGTTTCGTTCACCCCCCTGAGAGCATTCCACAAGGTCTTCAAGGCATCCCTCAATTTTGGAGGGGCCGCTCGAAGTTCTGTGCCACTACTTTGTGCACTGAGATGACTGCATGCTGGTTCCCAGCTCCCTGCTCTGGACTGGTGGTATCCTCTTGCCTGATCACAGAGAGGAAGCACTGCCGGGTGCATTGGCCTGGATGTGGTCTTGAAAGGTCCAGGATGCCACGTGCAGAGGTGGCTTGCCAGAAGGCATCCCAATTGCGAGAAGGCAAATATTGCCGGCAAGATTCTGTTGATCACCTCTGTAAAAAACCGATGATACCATTCAGATTGCTTTCAGTGCTCCTGATAAGAACTGTGGATGTGGATCTTCGTCGGTACTCTTCCCACTCACTAAGGGACATGACCGGCCTCTTCAAAGGCCCAATTGGTAGTTGGCACAGAGATGGCAAGCTGAGCGAAAGGGGAGGACGTGTGTGTTCAGTGGTCCCGCTTGGAGATGCCAATGCAGGATTGGTGCAGTCGGCCCTGCTAGGCCGAGGTTTACCAAGTGCTGATGCAGGACGTACCGCTGATCAGCCGTGCTGCCAACAAGACAATGCCACTTAGCGAGAGAAAGGCTTCTTCTTCACCTGACGCGAAGGGATAAACCGTTGTCTTATCTCTCAGCTGGGCTGTTGCTCGTTGCAGAAGCTTGGGTATGTGTATTAGGCGATGGCATGGGGGGTCAATTACCCGTAGCCTTCCAACATCTTGTTCCTCACCTCCCTCCCTCCTGTGGAGGGAGGCAGCAGGGGTCTTCGAATGCTCCTGCCCCTTCGATGTGCCTGTGCTGAGAGCCACCTTAATCTCATAGACAGTCAAACACACTGAACAACAACGAAGGGCCGCACTGGTGGCAATGAATTGCCCTCTCGTTTGGCGCGTTAGAGCTGCTTTTGTCACCAGTGGTTTTCGAGAGCCAAAAATCATGAGCAGAGGACATATGCGCATTTCAAATATACCCATTGTCTCAAGCGCAGTTAGTCACAGTTTGTCCGACCAGATTGCCCGTGCCTCTTCAAGTGCTATGCAATATTTTGAGTTCGGAGAGCGCATTTTCTTAGTGCTCGGTGTGATGGCCTGCTTAAACAGGCCTATAGACCAAGTGTCATTGACGTTGCCAGCAATCATTTCGAACCGCATTTCGGATAGCCCGTCTGGTGGCCTTTTGCAGTAATTCATTGCCCAATTTCTGTTTCACCCTTGCATGTACATCCAAGAGTCTCCATCATTGTGCTTTTCTTTGTCGGTTTTGTTTGGTTTTGGGGCGTTGTTTGATTTTGTTTGTTGTTTGGTCCCCTCTCATGCTGGAGACTCTACAAAAATTGCGCAAGCTGACCTGTGCACTTCCTGCATGAATGGCGGCTCGACTCGTGCAAAAACAGGCACTGAGATGGTTTGATGTGAAAGATGCATTCTTGCAAGTTCTACAGGAGAAACTACTGAAAGTGATCTTGAGAGGAGAATTGGTGAAGAGAAATCCACCTGGACAAGTTGGAGCAAAAGCATGGTTTGACATTTTCCACACGGCGCGTCACAGAGGAACTCAATTGTAAGTTCAGTGCTGAGGAAGAAGTAAAAAGAATGTCATTTTCATCAATGTAGATGACTTGATTGTCACAGGAGACTCAAATTACATCAATCAAATCTTTCTTCCAAAGATTCAAGGCAAGTTTGACACCATTGTGATCAAGAGTGAGAGGGTTGGTGGCGAGTTCAATTTCCTCAGGGGCAAGTACGAACTAGAAGTTGATGGATTTTTGATTCAATCAGGTAAATTAAGCCCAGCAAAGCCTGCTACCATCAGACAACTCAATCCAGATGGAGGACAAGTCAGATGTCTTACATGAGCCAGAGAAGATCAGCTTTTTCAGAAGAATCGTTGGATCAGGTACCTACCTTTGTCAAGACAGGTATGATGTACCATTCACAGTGATGGATTTGGCTTCAAAAATGTCAAATCCTACAGCTATGTCGTTTCATCACTTGAAGTTACAGTAAGTTTTTACGATACTTGAAGAAGACTATGGACTATTGTCTAGCACTTGAATTTCCACAAGCAGGAGAAGGTTATGTCAAGAAAGGAGAACGCTATTGGTGCTTGGATACATTCTGCAGATTCAGACTGGGGTTGAAGCAAACGGATTCTGTGCATTGAATAGTTGTCCATTCTTCCACAGCAGCGGGACAGAGAAGATCATTAACTTATCGGTGTGTGAAGCAGAACTGCACTCAATAGTTTCCTCAGCGTTAGATGGAATCTATATTCGCGCAGCTCTTGAACTTGCCCTTGGGACAAAGGTGGACCATTACATCTACACAGATTCATCAAGTGCACGCCAACTTGCGATGAAGAGAGGCCTTGGAAACGCGAGACACTTGGATGGAAAGTTGTCATGGATTCAACAAATCAAAGGAAAGATTTCAGGATGGTACAAGTACCAACAGATAGCAACATGGCAGACATCAATACAAAGCCGCTTGGAGGACAAAAAGTCAGATACTTGATGAACTTGATTGGCTTTTGGCACAGTGAAGAAAGATCAAATCAGAGTAGGAGAGTATGAGAGAAGGGTGTTTGAAGAGAAAAAGAATTTCGCAGGAAAGGTCAACAAGATTGCAAAGATGCTTGTGAGAATGGTAGCGTTGGAGGGCTTGCAGCCAATGTTTACAGAAGCAGTCCTGAAAGGAAACAACATTCAGTGTGGATTGGACGCAGTGAAAAATTCCAATGAAGAATGGGAATTCTGGATTGTCATGGTCCTTGTGTTCAACATTATTGGTTTTGCAGCAGTGATCTGTGTATTCTTCAAAACCTACAAACACAGCCCTACATGCCAAAGAAACCCATACAAGAAGCTTTAAGGCAGACTTTAATCAAGAGGGTTGAGAAGCGAATTGATGAAGTTGAGGAAAGGCTTGGAAATTGGAGAGAAGAATTTGAAGACAAATTGGACACACTTCAAGACTATGTCAGGAGAATTCACAGAAACACCAACTACACAAAGTATCCTCAGCTATAGCGTCTTGAGTGAGATCATGCAGGAAACTAGTTAGCCAGAAGGGGCTTGAAAGCTATGCAAGCTACAGAAGGATGGTGTGAAGAACACAGAGTAATGCCAGAGGCAGCCAAGGAAGGAGCAAACCCATCAGAGGGACCACTGAGCAGAACATTCAGAAGAGGGAATAGGGAAGCATCAATGAGATCAGACTAAGCAATACAGATGTGTGGTAGACTCGATGCCAAAATTGAGGATATGAACGTGCAGCCATGGAACCTACTAGGGATAGGAGACCAAAATTTTGCATATAGATGTGAGCGAGAACAAGAACATGTATGAACAACTACTTGAAATAGCAGAATACAGAAGGGACAAGCCAGATGTTGATCCATCAGAAGTACGCTTGAGGGACCCAGTTCCTGGAAGAAATGAATAAGCCTGCAGAGAGAGAGAGAGACAAGAATTGAGTGGAACAAATGGACAATGGTGGCAAAGTGAGCATCTTAGAGTTTCACAGTGCCAAGAAGGAGTGCGAACCATTTTCCATGCAGATCACAGTCTAGTTGTATAGCATTTCTAACATCACAGAATGCACTCACAGCCTTTTGTGAATCAAGAAAAGGTGCGTAAAAAACCATGTGTCGGTCAATCAATCAACCCAGATGGTTGGAACACAAGGTTGTGCATGCAGCGACGTGATAATCCAAAAACAATTTGTGTACTTTGTCCCTCCAGAGGCAGGGAAGCTTCCCTGTTGACAGACGCATTGTATTTGACAGACTTGTTCCTTGGGGGCTGCACACTTTCTTCTTGCAACAACAGCGAAATCCAAGCCTGGGTGCTTGAATAGGGACCGGTCTATTTCATGCTCAAGGCAGTTGGATTGAAAGTCTTCTGGCTATGGAAAGTACCTGAATCGTAATTGCATCGTAAACAGCAACAATTTGACATGTTGCAGGGACTGTGTTTATATATTTACACGTACACATATCATCCTCCGGATCTTTTGGTATGGAATGGACACACACTTTCACACATTGCTCATGTCACTTTTCATCTCCTTGACATATTTTTTTTGAGATTTTTGATGCAGTGGCAGCAAACATTACTATATATAATACAAGTCAGCACTCTCTTCCAACTACTCTGCAAGACAGGCAAACTTGGAGGATTACAATCGTAGACGATTGATTTACTCCTCCGATGAAATAGATTGGAGGATGTGCGTAAATTTCTGGGTCTCGCTCTTGGTTTAAATTTGCTGTCGCAGCTGTTATTTTTGGAGATATATCATCCGTTTTACCACTTGACGTTGTAAAGAAAGTATGTCAGGGTTGCATGCATGATGCCTCAATCCAATTGTTTTCTGAGGCATCCTGGGTGCTTTTAGCAGGCAGTTTATCGGGACTTTGTGGAGCAGCACCAACAAAGGCCAGACATACAGTCAGATTGTATTTGGTCTCTGCCTTTGAACCACTGTACACTTTCCATTTGCAAACAAATCATTCAAAGGCTTCAAGGATTGGCCACATGTTATGTCATGCGACATTTCACGCCTATTGACTCAGAGCTTTGAATCTTTGCTGGACTGGATTTATCCTTGCTCAAGCGTTTTCCTTCGGCCATTCGTTCCACCAGCAGCTTGGCTCCATTCCGGCTGTGGAGGTGTTGATTGAAGTGGGGTTGGTGCAACCTTGAACATCGATTCAATCTAGTTTGCAGTCAACTGCGGAATTGATATTTGCTCGCAAGGAAGGTGAGCGCATGGCCGCGGATGAAGGTTTCAGTCAGTGAGAGCTGGTGAAGGGTGGCCTATGGTTGGGTCATGGGCAGCTGTGTGGAACACTCAGATGTGACCTGCACTGTTTCAGCAGTTGTTTTTCAATTCCAGTTTCATGGGCCGATCTCAGGTGGCCACACTCCGCGGGGCACGGCAACATGCTTAGAGAGTATCGATGTGTGCTTTGAGTGGGAATGTGGCTGCAGAGGAAAGTGCCACTTGAAAGCCAGCGCCTGAAGAGCCAGAAAGAGGACGGGTGGTGCAGAAACATATGTAGTCAGTGTTAGACTGTCAGCGCTGCTCAAGCCAGACCACATTAAAGGGAGACTTCTTCTTCGTCTTTTGATGCAGCAGAGGTACTGACAAGCCAGAGGTCAACATGAATAGTTGCCTTGATCGGTCGGTTTTTGGCTCTTCTTGGTCACATCGCGGTTTTCAGGATAAGGCTGACCTATTGGAGGAAATCGATGAAGTACCCAGTCAGTCTTGCCTGTTTGTTGCCCGTTTTGCAGTTCTTCGCATGTAAGTTTTGTACAGGTTTTGCCATCTACATTATTGACAACAAAGGCGATATCGAGGCCTCGTCGTTGCAAGTCAAGACCTTTTCTTTTGGTGGAATATTGCAAAGTTCAAGTTTGCAAGAACCAAGAAGTCTTCTGCTTGGAGGACTTCTATGATGTAGAGGATACTAAGATTGGTGAAGGCTCCTTCGGGCGGGTCTGCAGGCTCCCGCCTCAGACTGCAAACAAACAGGTTTCTTTTGATTCGTCACGTTGAAATCTCGTGTTTCGAGCTGTAGGAACAAAGGTGGACACGATCAGTGATGGCAATGATCAAAATTGTTGCAAAAGCAATTGATTCGAAACAATTCATCAAGTCAAAACAGGGTGGAGGAAACAGCTGATAAAAGCTACCATTATCTAGAAGATTCTTGTAGGGGATCTCTCTCTCTCTCTCTCTTCCATTTGTTTGTCGCTGTCCGGCTGTAGATTATATGGAGTAGTTGCCTGCTAAAGGCGGCAGCTTTAGCCTCAAGCATGTCGAGCAGCTGTTTCAGTTGCGGGCAGGTTTGTCATTTGCCTTGCTTCCTACACTCCATGTTGTGGATCTTGCTTTTGAGGTAGCCATGTCAACGCAAAAATGGGTGACAAACTCGACCTGACTTGCGATACATGTGAAGTTGGACAGATAGGTTCAGAGCAAAGAAGTTGGACAGAAATGAAGGGCGCAAGAAGGCACAGTGGAAAAAGAAGAAGAAGAAGAAGAAGACAGAGGTGGAGAGGAAGATAATTAGACGGCATCAAGTTAATTACCGACAGTGACGATGGATGTCTGACAGAGAAGGCGTGTCAGACATGATCCGTCTTTCCAATTGTTTTCAAGAAAAATCAACGAACTGTGATGGTCAATGGACCAAGAGAAAGAAGAGCAGTCGTCCAGTACATAGAAGACATTCGCGCCAGCAATGCGCTAGTATGCGTTCCATGAGGATCCCAGGAAATCACTGGATGAGATATGCTGGCCAGATGATATTGCAATTCACCTTGGGCTGCACGATGATGGTGATGATAGATGAAGATTGAAGATGTGACCTGAGCAACCAGATTCAGATGAGGCCTCGGATGCTTCACGAGAGGTCATGGATGGAAATGAAAGCTGCAGCAAAGAATCCACAGGGCCACAGAGGGTTCTGGAATGTGGGGTCCCTGGGTCTGTGGAGGGCAACTGAGTTCAAGCCAAAGGATAATTGGTATCTGGTAGGGGTGCCACAAGGTACGACCCAAAGGGGCCACTTGGGAAAGACATTTCTGTCTATGATAGACAAGGTGTCAGACTGTGCCTTTACATCAGGGTCAATTTGACATGAAACAGACTGGAGTGCTGCGCGACACTTGTTGCGTTCAAAAGAGCATAGGCTTGGAGGTCCCGCCCATCATGTCCCCAGGTGCACGAACAAGTCCACTGGTGCGGAACGTGCCGTCAAAATGCTGCGAAAAGTGCGCCGAAAGTCGCAGTTGATCATGCCGGAGTCTAAAGTGATGCAAGTCAGAGTTCGGTTTCGGGGGGATCAGATTCGACTTTAGTTAGAAGGCTTCTCAGTGAGTGAGGTTTCAGAATGAGCTCTCCACCTTAAAGATGCAGAACTCTCAGATTTCTTGCAGGGTATCTTCACTCTTCACGTACCGGTTTGAACTTGTTTTACTCGGACGCAATGGGCGAGGCTCGACCACCCACACATTGTTAAGCTGTATGAACACTTCGAGGATTGGGTGGGTAGTTGTTGAGTAGAATCTCTTTCAGCCGATTTTCTTTTGCATAAAGTTTGGCATAAAGCCTGAACTCTGTTCGAACCACACGTCCCCACTCTGAAGGACAAAAGGTATATGTACATGGCCTCGGGCTCATTCGTCAGCTCTGTAAAGGGGCAACCAATTTGGTGCCCTTGGAGGCCATCGCTATTCTATGCTATTCTTCATTTCACACGGTCTGCCCGGTCGGGCACAACTCTCAGGTCATGGAGTACTGTCGAGGGGGTGAGTTGTTCGACCGGCTCTTGGAAGTGGGGCACTTTACGGAAAACCAGGCAGGTGTGGATGGTGCAAGAATGCAAGCATCCAAGCTGACCCTATTCTCCGGCAGGGTGCAGTCATAATGCAGCAGATCTTCCGCAGCTTGGCATCCACTTTGTTGCATGCGCACGACATTCTCTGTGTTTGCATCCCTTTCGTCTTGTCATAAGGTGGAGTGTACTACCTCCACACCATGAAGGCCCAAAGAGATCCCTTTCAGCTTCGTTTTCCATATATAGATATGGGCCATGGGTGCTTTTCCATGGGGGGTCAGAGACCAATCCTTTGGGGCGTCTCTCGTCAGGTCGTACATCGAGACTTGAAAATCGAAAATTTCATGTTCGCTGGTGAAGGCCCGCTGGATACAGTAATGAAAGGAACACAAAAAGAGGGTTTGCGCAGAGGTGTGGAAGCAAACTCTGTAGGTCCTATAGAAGCCAACATGATCAAGGCTTCGAAGCTTGTCAGACCGGCAAGTTAAATAGTCGAATCTCTTGAATTGCCTCAGATCATTGACTTTGGGTTTGCACGGTCCTTCAAAGAGGGCCAGGCCAGCTCGCCCTTTCAATTGTGTGTTGTTGTAATCGAGTATTTTGTCTTCTTCAGCAGCATTACCCCTGACCGAACTGCAAAGGCAGCATGTTTGGAAAAGAAACAATGAACACGACTAGTTTTTAGTTGTCATTGTCGATGCACTTCAGACGACAACTTGACTTTGCACAGTTTCTGAAGACGAAAGTGGGCGCGCCTGATTCTTAAGCGTTTGGAATTTTTGGACTTGTTTGCACGGGGTGCGTTCGGACTGGAGAGAGCTTTGCTCAGCCCGCAGACATCAAAGCGCTGTGTCCTAAAGGCCATATTTTGTCTCTCCACAGATCCTTGCTGGGAAGTACACTGAGGCAGGTCAGCTAGTCAATCTTGAACAAAGCACAGATCATGGATTCTTGCACAGACATGGTTCATGAATGCCTTCCAATGCCATTTGAGTCCTCAGCTGCCTTGAAGTTGGCAGCTTTTAGTTCATGCAGCTAAACAAACACTTTGAGACATCACGTCGCAACTAAAGACCATTCTATATTTGACAGCACTATATAGTAGGATGCAACCTGAAGATTGATGCACAGAGTCTACTGTCTGTCTTTCAAACCCATCACCAAGAGTTTGAGGTCATGCCCAGCGCACTTTCCTACTTGGTTTTCTTTCGATGAGACACATTTTTTGTGCCTTATGTTCCCATGACATCATGGCCAGCCGTTCTGCTTCTGTCCTTTGCAGGAGACATGGGGTTCTTCTTTTTGACCTTGAGTCCATATTGAGACTGATAGACATTGGAGAACTACTGTAAGTTGTTGCCGTCACACTGCACAGAGTGTTTTCTGATTTTAATTAGGCATGGTAATGGCAAGCTTAACTTGACTTTAATCACCCACACCGGCTGTCAGCATGAGCACGAGTTTATCTTCAGGGTATTAATAGTCTTGCTTCGTAGCCAGGCTGATGCAGTATATGAGGCTCTTTGCACAACAGTTTATTATTGCATACTTGTTGCATCGCTGATGGACGCATTTCACTGCACAACATTCTTTTCTTGCACAGCCTGAGGGGAGACATAGGTTGAAGGACCCCATGCCTTTCATCTGGTTTCGAAAGGAGGAGAATACTGCACCACGTCGAGGTGTGCATCAACCAGCTCAGACTCCAAGAAACACCAAGACAAACTCAATAAAGGAGCCGTCGGTTTGCTAAGTTGCAGCCGTCAGCAGATTTGGAAGTCTGGGCTTGCTCAGAGGCTTGCAGCACTGAGTGCCAGGGCCTTGTCTCCAGTGGCGAGTGGGATCGTGGTACAAAGAGCAGGTCATCGATGCGTCAGCAGTGATGTTGGACTCATCTCTGTGGCGATGCGAATTCCAAAGGTCCTTGAGGATAGCATGAAACAGCAGTGCCGTGGAAAGCTTTGCCCTCGTGCGCTACCGTGGGGATCCTCGAGGCAGAGGGAGAAGCTACGAGAAAACGAACGAGTTGAAACAGTCATGGATCGCAACGCTGGCGCAGCAGCATCGGAACGAGCAGAAGCTGCTGCTTCTCAGGGAGGTGGTGATTGGTTTGCTGGCTGCGTGCCTTTGGCGTGTTTGGGACAGGAAGAGGATTTACGGCAGGTGCTGAAGATGTTGTTTTGGCGCAGCTTGGGACGTGACCTCTCGGGCGTCCAGGCAGGAAATCGTTTTATTGAACGTGCGTGAACGGGCTTGGACATGGAGGCAACATATTGTTCAGCACGCCCCATACAGTCCAGAAAACCGATGAACGTCCAAATGTTTTGCACACAAGCAAGATGACTGACTTGGACTTGCCAATTCCTGGGCAAGGCTCTTTCACCATCATCCTTGGATTCAGAGATACGCGTGGTGAGACTCTTTGGGCCACAACCGCCTGGACCTCTGCCTCTGAAGCCACTGGACGAAGAGGTCTTTGAGGCATGGGTCGTTCCGTTATATAGTTACTGATAGTTTGTTTTGCTGTTTCAGATTGTGTTTGTTCATTTTTGTCGCAACACTGCAGCTTCTCACACCGTGAAGCCTTCATGGCTTTGAAGGACCTGGGACGGGGGCCCTTCGATGTGGTTGCTGTCACCGACAAGCCTGAACGTGCACATGCTCTCGTTGCCTCCTTGAAGTGGCCTCTGCGCTTGCGCCTGCTTCAGCCACCGGCAGAAGAGAGGCCTTGGAGATACAGATGGTTTGACTCAGAGCGATACCTTTTGAACCTCGGACAAAGTTTGCTTTTCAGTCCTTGCTTTGCTAACAAAGCATCCATTGGCAACAACAGGCTTCTCGAAACTTTGCTTCACCAGTCCGCACCGTGAACCTAGGTCCTATGTAACGCGCCTCACAAGAGCAGGGCTGGGTGACCGACTGGTTATTTATTCAGATGCCTTTGACACAGCCTTCCTGGACTGCCAGAGAAATCTGAACAAGGACACCAGTAGATCTGTGCGGGGAACAGGTCGAGAAACGGTGGCTGCGATTGCTGCATCTGCAGGTTCTGGAAGAGCTCAAGCGGCCCATATTTTTTGGAGTTGAGTTCGGCTCTCAAACCATTTTGTGCTTGTGAGCGAAAAAGACAGGTGATAGTGGGGAAGAAATGCTGCAGAAGCCAGTGGTTTCCGTCAGTGGGCTCTTGAGGTTCGACCTTTATCCAGCTGGCCTCTTTGGCTATCCCGCAGCCGCAGCAGGCAGCCATTCAAGAGCCCGGCTGAACACAGACCAGGCAACGGCTGATGGCAAAAGCAGTAAGTTGAATAGTTCTGTGATATTCTGTAATTATTTTGTAAGTTTTGTAAGTATTCATGCTGACATTTGATGTTGGCTTCTGGTGTCAGGCACGGCAGAAGGTAAACGACGGACAGTGGAACATGTTACGACGTAGTACTGTTCCCGGCCGTCGTTGCAGTTGCGAAAGAAGCCAATGCCTCGTTGCCGCGAAGTGCGTTTTGTGGAGCTGATTTGGGAGCCCAGGCAAGAGAGTTTCACAAGATCCCTCCTTGCTTGCTGAATAAACAGAAGGAAGTGGAAGGCCTGGATAGGCCGTGGAGTGCCTAGAAGGTTTCTAAGGTTTCCTTATCAAGCTTCTGCTTATCCTGGCCAGTGCATCCGGCAGATTAATGAGACACGACACGCATGCCACAAAGATATTCATGATTGCACATATTGGCTCTGAAGGCCTGCAGATGACCATGAGCCATGCTTGGCTTGGTCTGAAGTGGGTGGATTGATGAGCAGTGGCTCCGAATCAGCGGCGCCTCATTGGTATGGAGTATCGATGCAAACAAAGGATCAATTCACAGAACCCAAGTCCTTAGTAGCGTCCTTGCTCCTAGTAGTACGGCCAGGAGCCCCTAGTGGCATCCTTGCTCCAAGGCTGAGGTCCCAGATGTGTGGAATGTTTTGCTAATAAACATTGTGTGAACATTGGCCATATTGTCCGCGACATCTAAGCAGCCAGTGGCCGGAGAATACCTCAATGGTGGCTTCTATGGAGGAAGAGCTGCAGATTTGGAAGTAGCTCTGAGGCACGCGTGGAGCGTCGAAGCTTAAGAGCAGCAAGTCGGCTAACTTACAAGGAAGGCCAAACGGTTTGACACAACTCAACCAGTTGAAATTACAAGGAAAACGTTGTAGCAAAAGGCTCAATTTTAATTTAGTGAACTTTAGGTGTACGAAAGTTGGGTTTCAGCATCAACCTTGATTTCGAGAGTTCCCAAATGCACTTGGTGGGAAGGAAGCTGCTGCATCTTCAAGGCCGTTTACCGGAAGTCAATGCACGCGGAGAAGCTTATCAGAACCACGGAAAGACTCACCAATATCTTTGGAATCAATACTTGATTGAGCACCCTGAGCAGGTGAGGCAGCTGTGAAGGGTTCATTTTGCTGATGTTGCCGTGCTTATGAATCTTTTATCTATTGATCCGCAAAAGGAACTCTCTTTGTTGCACAGTGCAGGTTCTCGCTTGCGTGTCATGAAAAGCGACGTTGTCAGTGGTTCCACTTCCCATCAGGTTACATTGGATTATGGAGGTGCCTTTGTGGTGAACCTGGCCCGTCGTTCAATCTCTCCTCGTCAGTTTGGTAAAGATGAGATGGGAAGTATCAAGTCCGTTCTATTTCAGAAAGCTGTGTGCTTCATCCACGCCAATGCGGGGGGATTTGCTGACCCTTGGCCACCAATTTTTAGCATATATATACTGTATATACATACACACACATATATAATACTTAAATAGTTTTTTGATGTCAGAACAATTTCTTTCACACTCTTGCTCGTTCTTGCTCTCTCAAACATCACCAGGATATGACCTTTCATCTTCTGCGCGTGGCCCATTTATTGAAGGCCGACTCGACCAGGTGGGCGGGCTTTCAGTCCCAACAGGAGCTGGAGGAGGCAGCCCAGCGAGGGCTGCAGGCCGACAAATCAAAGGCAGATCGGCTCAGCGTGGACCTCTCCTTGTGCTTCAGAGGTTTCCCGTTAGCCCCAGTCTGGCAAGGCCTGCTAAGCTATCTTTTTTTGGTGACTCCTTACAATGCTGCAACATTTAATGGCATGCAGTTCTTCATTGCTCGCCCGCTGGAACGCACACCTCAGCTGGCAACCTTTGAGATTGTCGCCTTGCAGCGCGGCATTGTTCAAACGCGGAGGGAAACTGGACGCGCGAAGCCTCCCAACGGCACGCACGAGTTTGAAGGGCGAAATCGGTTTGATACCCAGGCACCCGGAGGGGGGAGCGTGAAGCGAAGACTTGTTGTGCAAATTTTGAGCTGGACTTTCTCTTAGCTTACATTCTCTTGATCTGAGTTTGTTGAGCCGATCTTCACTTGAGCAGTGGAGATCAGACCCCTTGAACACAGCCATACCCTGTGGCAAAATCTCTCATTTGAAGGTGTTTCAAATGGACCTTCGTTCCGGTGACTGCTTGGCGTGGCGCTGCTTCCAGCGGTGTGACTTGACGTTCGCAGAGCTGGAGACACAGGCGTGATCATCATCCACTTGTCAACTTACCCAAAAGATTTCAGAGGATCCAAAAATCGACTGGTCTCCTACCTGTTAGATAGCTTGTTCACAAAAGTCTCCTGTGTTTCGTGCGGAAGCTCTCACGGCACTTCAACTCCAAAAGGGTCAAGCGAGCATCTTCGAAGGACTCCTCACTGCCTTGACAGGCCTTTGGGGAAAGTCCACCTTCACAGAGGCTCTGGACAGCTGCCATGAATTGACAGACTGGCCTGAGAATTCTTGATGGCCCGTCCGACCAGTCCTCCCCAAAAAGGCTCCCGTTTTGTAAGAGGCCTCGGAGCTATGGATTGAATATGACTCAACCCTATCCACATGGCATGTGGGACCCTGTTGGACCCTGTCAGACGCTGGGCCCAGATCATGTGGATACACGGCACTTGCAGAGCCCTGATTCCTGTCGCTTCCTTTCCGTTGTTTTTGTCATGCAGGCTGGGCACATGGAGTGGCCTAGGCAAAGACCTGGTGGTAGGAGCACGAGTGGCCTGGCTGAGTCAGGAATGTTGGGCGGATGAGGGGTTCTTTCGTCACAGGCTTTTATACACTTGATAATGCTCTGAGCTTCCTCTTGACGAGGCTAGCACCTGGAATGGACTTGAGCTGTCAAATTTGCTAGGTTTCTCATGTCCATGGCAAACATGTACCAACTTGGATGACCAATGGTAGCCGAGTCAGCCAGTCACTGGTGAGTCAAATCATATATGACAAAGAGTTGCCCGTCAATACCTGCCCAGCCTGTTACCTGCCAATGCATGGCATGAGTCTTCTATCAACCTTCAACGAACCGTGCACTCAATTTGAGTATTGGAAGTAGCTGTTGAGATGGCCACCCAGATGTGGAGGAGTGGCTAAGCCTGAACATGAACTATGACTTACTACTTGTCCCAGTCACCCGAAGCATGGACTCAGATCGCCTTGACGACCTGGCTGCCTCGACGCTACGCTATAGGCATCCGGGCACTCCAAGCATTTGTAACACGCTTCGCCCCGCACAGACACTTTGTAAAGGTTAGGTTAGGTGACTTCGTGTGTCACCCTCCTCTCATAAACATGTTGTTTCGCACATCCACCCAGCATCCCATGGATGAGAGTATTGGGATCTACCACCTGAAGCACCCAAATTTTCTTGAATTGGATATCTTTACTGGTGTCCCAGTCCGCAATCTGGAGCTTTTGTTTTTTCATTTGTGACTCTTTGACGATGTTTGCCGGAGGTGCCCAGGCTGAGATTCGGGGCTTTAACTTCTACCAGGATTGAGGAGAACTTGTGCGCGGTCAGAAAATGAGGGGCGCCGGGGCGCGGAGCTCTGTTGCTTCTAGTAGCTTCTTGTTACTAGTAGTCAGGCCAGGAGCTCCGTTCGTAGTGTGCTTGCTCCTAGTAGCGATGCCCTTCGTTACTAGTAGCTTCTTGTTTTTTGGCCTGGCCCAGTTCGACTGAACAGACCAGTCACATTGCACAGGCGACGGACATGTGGACTGTTGGCGCATGCCAGCCATGTTTGAACGTTCAGTTTGATGTTCCATATCAATGACCTTTTCTTGAGGCTAAAACCAGATGACAATTTTCAACATTGTAGTGAGTGATCAGCTGCTTCTGTCAGACTATCATGTACATCTTGCTGTGCGGCTATCCACCTTTCTTTGGAGATTCCGATGCCACGCACCACAGCAATGCAGCATTTTTGGCATTATTTTGGGTGGAACGAAGGCGATGCAGAGTGATGAATAGATAATACTTTCTTGCATTGAGCAAAAACTTCTCCAAACACTGAGGCTGAGGATTTCAATTTGACAACCCTTTCCCTCAAAGATTCTTGAGAAAGCGCTGCAGTTCATAAGATATTTTTGATTTTATGGCTACACATAATATGAAAAATTGCAAAGCCCAACATGTCGTAGATTTTGTTTCTGTCCAGTTGAAGACCTGTGTGTTTGCAAGGATTGGTTTGATGTAGACGTCCCTGCCAAGGCCGAGATCTTGTCGCGGGTTCGTTCTGGGAACTTCAGCTTCAACGATGCGGACTGGAGGCATATCTCTGACATGGCCAAGGCACCAGAGAAACGGTTCAACACATGACCCACACGGTGTTTTTCTGGCCGAAGAGCCGAATCAGCGGGCGAACCCTGAACCCTGTCAGAATAGCTTTCAGCTGAGCACGTTGCGCAGGATTTGATCCGTGGTCTTCTTCGAATGAGTGAGATAGAACGCGTGAGTGCCAAACAGGCGGGATGTTTGAGTCTAACATCAGTAGTCAGTGCACAAGAGTATCCAGACATTTTTGAGACAAATGGTTGTAGAAGTTTGCGAAAATAGACATTCCAGAGATCACAACGTTTACTGCAGTGCCTGCCGTAAAGTTGTTAGGCCTTGTTTGATCAATGGATCATCCAGACAGCATGGCACTTGGTGGGAATATTGCTTCGAATTGCAGACTACTCGACCTGGAAAATTGGACAATAAGTAAAGCTACAACTTCAAAATAGCTCTCATTACTGATTACTTGTATCACAAGCAGAATTGTTGCTGCCAGGTTGTTTTTGCTAATGGCGCAAGGAAATAGTAAGATGGCATGCAGGTTGAACCAGAACTGACCACGATAATTCGCTGACACCTTCTTGTGGAAAGAATCAAAAGCAAAGGCTACTCGCGTCCGCACTTCGGTCACCTCCCCAATATAGCGCCAGTGTCACTGGTACTCTTGCAGGCGGCAAAGTGTTTACAGGTCTGCGACTTTTGGCGTTTGCCAATGCCTCGCGTACCGTGACTGCATGTGTTTGGCCAGATTCCACTGCCATTTGACACCCTGGCATACCGGCGTTGTTTGTGCTCCTTTGCTCCCTGTACCTACATCGAGAACGTTTCTTTGCCGGATGCTGAACAGACTCATCTACGTGCAGAAATCCTTGCTCGTTTTATACAGTAGCTGTCACCAAAGGCGACCCTTGCAAGCCAGCGATTGCCTCAGTGCAATCAAGACCCTCCAAAAGTTCATCGGGCTGGAATTCAGCTCGGTGGTTCTTCATGCATCGCTGCATAGATCTACTCGGTGGTTGCGAAATCTTGCGGCAACATAGCGTTACCCTTTGTTACCCTCATCACAGTTAAGGCTCATATTTTCAATGATCCTTGTGTCCAACATGTGTTTTCGACGCGCAGTAATGCTGAACCTTATTAGCTGTCCCTACCTTGGCTCGAAGGGCCGAGCAAAGTTTCCAAATTTCTTCCTTTGCAGATCAGCCTCGTGCTGGCCCTTCTAAGGTTTCCTGTGTGTGTATTCTTGTGCGCCGGCCTTCTGGGTAAGAGGAAAAACAAAAGGCACGTATTGCTGTCCTATTGCTCAACTTGCTTGTGTCGAAACCTCTTTTGTCACTAGGCGGGCCGTTGACCTAGCAATATTTTCGTGCCTTCCAGCCCCGTTTCCCTTCGTGGGTGTTCCCTTCAGTGGCCAATCCTGTGTCATTCTGCCTCGTGTGCCGTTGATGACTTTGCCAATAAGAGACAGAAGTTTCCTCTGTCTGGTGACTTTGCCAATGGGAGACAGACGTTCCAACTGATGTTCTACGGCCCCTGCATCAATACTTCGGCAAATTGAATTCCGATTTATCGAAGCGATTTTCGACTTTGTTGCCGCCTGTCCGGACAACCGGTTGCTCTCAAGTGAGACGACACTTCACGAAACTACTTGTAGATTCAGATCTCCTTTCAACCCCTTTCATGCCTTATCGGCATTGCCACATTCTAACTGTCTTTGGGTTCGATCGTACTGCTGGATTTTGCGAATCTGTTCCCTTGCGCAACTTTGCACTCTGGATTCTGGATCCCTATGGAATGTCCTTCGGCTGGGCGCATGAATGCAGTGCTTCGATTTGTTGGGTGATTGGCATGAATGGAGCAGCAAGAATGAAGACCGTCCCCTTTTTGGGCTTGATTGTTGACATAACCAGGGAACCACACTGTGCAACATTGATATTTTCACTGCCGAATGCCCTGCAAAGGCACCTGTCTTGAGAGCTCCCTTGAAGCAGAAGTCTCTGTCTCAGCGATGAAAAGCTTCGCAAACACCCTTGCCTCAGGTGTTTTCTTCGTTGTCCCAGGTACTTTGAGAACATGCGCAAGTACGTAGGGTGCACGTCCTGTGTTTTCATCTGTGTGGATGCCGCGACAGCAGACTTTGACAGCTCCCTTCCCGGTCTGCCAGGTTCAACAAATTCAAGCAAGCTACTTTGCAAATCATTGTTTCTCAGCCTGCCTGGCCTGTTTTGAGTTCGTGTATGCTGCATGTCGTGGCACGGAAATTCAATGCAGGTTGGAACCAGAGATTGCAAAGCCCTTGATTGATACCTTCATGTGGTGCGCCTGCTCAAAGTATAATAGAGCCAAGGAGCAGGAGTTCTCTTCATGAATCTTTCCGAAAGCCCAGGATAGATAGCTCGGGAGAAGGACATATTGATGCGGCGGAGATAGAAGCAGGCTTTTGTTTGAGCAGATCCTTTCAGATTTTCCGGTTTAGACCGCAGCCGCGATGCCTCCGTTCCCTCTTTTTGTCGAAGGTATGAAGAGGGCTGGATGGACCGAGATCGAAATCCCCGAGGATTTAGAGGAGATGGCCGGGACCTCCGGATCCTCACCGGCCGAACGTCAGGGCTATAAGAATCGTTGAAAGCAGGGTCTTTCGCTACGATTTGTATCAAGTTCACCACGTTGGTTCGGCCGCGAGCCATTTTGTGCGTTCAGTGCCAGGTGAATAGCTTGGATGCTGATGGCAGCGGAGAGATTGGGCTTGGAGAGCCAAAGCCCCGGAGTCGGTGAGTTCGTTCGAGAAGCGGGCTGCGGTTTGCGGAAGGTAGAGAATTGATTCGTCGGTTTTGCGGTTGAAGCGTTTAGTCTTTCCTTTGGCATCGAGGTTTGTGGCATCGATTCTGGACCTACAGGTGGGCATCTCCAAGCTGTGGTATGGTGCTCTCTAGGGGTACTGGCTGGTGACCCACAACTATCCCAACCGTGTAAGGTTTGCTTCAGTGCTTTGGAGTCTCTTTGGATTTGGGGAAGTTGGGGCATGTCTCCAGATTCAGGACCCGCACCGCAGCCCTCTTTTTCCAAGGTCTACGCGCGGGAGGAGACCTGTTGGGCAGTCTTCCGCATCTATGATCAAGATGGCGATGGATTGTGTCTTGGGGGAAGCCACATGAGTAAAGCTGATTTGCAACACTGGACACATTCCCAAGTCGAGATGAAAGAAGACCAACCGAGGATCGGAAATACTGACGTTTACAACATTTTGAACAATGGTCAGCCAGAGGAGGCGTCCTTTGGCGAGCCACATTGCTTCTGTTTTGAGTGAACTTTGTGGATCAGTATTTTCAGGAGCTTTCCCAAGAGCCAGTAAACTGGCTTTTCGGGCATGGTGGTGCAACATGTCGTGTGATTTCTTGGACTTGTTCTTATTCGTGGCTTCAGAATAGCGTAAGTCCACTGTAACTGAGATGGTCAGGCCATCAGTGCACACGAGTGTCGGGAGCTCATCAAAGAAGCGGATGAGGAGCGCTGCAACGGGTTTTTGCGGGTTGAAGTCAGGCACCAGCAGAAGCCTCTATACTACTGTCTAATGACTTAGGCCAACGTGATGCAAGTGACATACCAATCTGGCTACCCTCAGGGCTAGGTCATGTGCCCTGACATATCGAGCAAAAAAGAAAGTCTGGGTTGGGAAACCTGGTGTCATGGGACCTGTGGACACCTCCTCGACAAAAAATAAAGTAATAATAAACAGCTAAAATAATGCTAGATACCACTGCCTGGCACCCTGGTGACACAGTGGTGACATATGACATAGGGTGCGACTATGTGTTTGTGGGCGCTGCTTCCTTGAATACCTCATACATATTTTCTATGAATTTGATGGTTGTGGCCTGATGACATAGGCCTTAAGAGGAAATGCCAATGTTGGATCAATCCTGATGACATAGGCTTTTGGAATTGGCGTGTATGTCCGACAAGTCCTAAGTTACTAGTCAGTAGTATAGAGACTATGTTCCTGATAGCAACTAGCAGCCTTGAAATATTTATTTTTGGCCCAACACTTATTGAGACTTTTTATGCGGGAAATGAAGAACGTTCAGCATCAAGGAGCAGTCCATTTGCACAACTTTGGACATTAACATATTCAGGTTTCGTATTGCATGCGCACTTTCAAACTGTACTTGGGAGCAAGGACGCTACTAGGGGCTCCTGGCCTTACTACTAGGAGCAAGACGGTACTAGGAACAAAGGGCATCGCTACTAGGAGCAAGGACGCTAAAAGTTCGGTCTCTGTTAGTCACACAACATGTTGTCATACATTTCATGACGCCCGTTGATGGTGCAAGGATGGAGACAAGAGGATCAGCTTCGCGGAGTTTCTGAACATGATGAAGGGTGTCTCAGGGAACAAGAAGGTACGCACACTCCTTCGAAGCAACCAGTGTTCTCCTTCGAAACAACGAGGAAAGGGAAGTCCATTGGAGATTTGGCAACCAAAGATGCAACCACACAAGCACACGGATTTGTTAGAGCGCTGGAGCAGCGAGTGGACAAATCAACCGGAGTGTCGATTTGACAGATGAGACTAATTGAATGTATGGGCCGATTGGGCTCTCTCAGAAGCTTTAAGCTTGTGCTTGTTGCATTGGACTTGTTGGGCTGACGATACTTTGCTGGGTTTGATTTTGCCATTCAGGAAAAGAAGAAGGGTCCCCAGCTCAGGCAGCTCAGGCTGATCAGTTGGGAAGAGAGCCACGTGTTTCTTAGAGCGATCACTCTGAGGAAGTGGGCAAGAATTTGATATCCAAATCGTTCGGAGCTTATTTTGCCAAGTTATGGTTGTCTCTTGTACAGTTGCTTCCTTCTGGAGAAAAGAAGGTGTCCCACTTGTCCCAGAATGGAAACAAAAGGTCCAAGAAGCGTGAAAACGTTTCTTCTATTTTCTTCACTTTCGGGTTGGATCAAGTGTGTTTACCTTGTTTGAGCACCCCACGCATCGTACTTTGGCTCACGGCGGCGGTAGCGACCGTGAGCACTTAGCGGCCTTGTCTTTTTTGGGTCCTCATCCGATAGATGCTGCTGTGTCCTAGTACTGCTGTTTGTTGTGGGTCGCAGGGTGGGGCCAAGTGGTGACGTTTGTTCCTTCAAAGCACAGCTACACAGAGAGATCGTACGGTAAGCATTTTGAGCACGCAGGGCCCGTGGGGAGAAACAAATCCAACAAAACCTTTGTAAAAGACATTGTTTCCAGCCTCTTCATTTCAATGGGTCTGCGGCTGCGCAAAAACGCTCCCGTGACCAACCTAATTAGCACAAACCTCAAGAACCAGACCGTCGCTAATGCTGCCGTGACCTAGTTTTACAACTCCTTGGGCCAGTCTTAGCCTTTCTTAACATTAATCTTCTTGGGTCTTTTGTGGAAAGCACCATACTGTAGTTATATAACTTTGTTCTAGTGGTCAGGAGGATCCATTTGCCAGAACTGTGCGCATGCCAAGGACATGATGGACGACTTGGCAAACATCAACACGGAGCATGAAGCTGAAAATGCTTTCAACAGCACAGAGGCCTGTTCATCTGCAGAAGGTGAAGGTCCTTTGTAAATCCTTGGTTACCAGGGTCCATCCCGGCGAGGCCTGTGGGCAGAAGATTTCCGAACAATATATTACCTGTAGTAGTCCTATAACAATTACGTATGGGCCATATGGGACTAGTCCAAACGTGTATTTTTCGTTGTGATCTTGCTTGCTGTCATCACGCGACGTGCAATGACTTATATAGCACGCACCGGCCACGACGCCCCTAGTGCTGCTGCGCCACCGTTCAATCCCAACGCATGCGCCACCGTGATGTTGAGGAGTGTGATGTTTTGATGTGTCGTGACACGATAAGGTTTCACTGGAGTTTCTTGGTGTGGTGTGATGCGACGCAATGTTGCATTGTCATTGCTGTTGTGATGTACTGCGATGCTGTGTTTTTTTCCGATGCAATGTTGCACTCTCATTCGCTATTGTGGTTACATGTGACTCGATGCAGCGAGATTTCGCAAGGTGTATGATGCTGTGGTCACATGCCTTGTTTAGTCATGATGCTCTTGAGATGGTGAGGTCTCAAACCTCTCCTTTTCTGATTTCTCTTCAGATCCTTCTTCATTCATGTCATAGCTTGAGATTGTCTACACAAAAGAAGCGATTGCACAAGCTACCGAAACGACTCAAGGAGCACTTTTGCATCATGCACCATACATCCGGTTCCTTGGCTCCAGCACTCCCTGACAGGAGCAAGCTCAGGCGCGACAGCAGGATGTGGATGTCGCGGCGATTTAAGCCATCCACACGCAGCCAGCAACATAACTCCTAGTAGCGTTCTTGCTCCTAGTAGCAAGGCCAGGAGCCCCTAGTAGAATTCTTGCTCCTAGTAGCGATGCCAGGAGCCCCCAGTAGCGTCCTTTGCTCCTAGTAGCGTCCCCTCTGTGTGTACCTGCAGATATTGTTCGGCTGCCATCGCCTGTTGTCCGTACTTCAACCTACAGCGTTGGAATTCCAGCTTCCCTCGCCTGCCACGGCAGTGAACAATGCATTTCTGACTCTCTGACGATGTTCTGGAGTGTAGGACAATGTTGTGCCATATCGCGGTTGCTGACCTGCAGCGAGGTCACTCGCAACCACTATTTGTGCATCGCTGTCTTTTGTCTCCTGACACTCCTTTCAGAATCCACCTCGACCAGTGGTCCCGCCGGACAATCAGAGGGACCCACCCCTCTCCGCACCCACGCACGCACCCCGCGACAGATTCCACAGCTTCTTGTCCTCTTTGTTTACACGGCATAGATCCCATAGATCCGGGGCCTTTCTAAGGCCTTTGTGTGTCCTAAGTGAAACAGTTCAGGACGAGAACCCTCTATCCCAAGCGGCTGAGCGCCTATCCCAAGATGCAGCACTGAGCCTGCAGGCCAGGTCATGTCAGATTGCTTTTGAAAGCTTTCGTTGTATGCTACCCTCAGTGTGGCTCAACACTGAACCTCTAAGGAACTGCCACATCTGGAGGCTGTGGAGGTGAGGCCATAATCCAGTGTAGAGTGTAGACAAATCTACAACATTCAAACCATTTTCAATCCTGATCTCAAGCGGAGGAAGCTATGGCAAAAGTTGAGCACACTACACCAGCAGAGGATGTGCTCCCAGCGGAGGATGCGGTGCCAAAGGCTGACATCCCGCCAGCAGAGGAGGTGGCGCCGGCAGATGATATAGCACCAGTGGAGGATGTGGAGGGCGTGGCTGACATGGCACCTGAGGATGTGGCGCAGGTGGATGATGTGGCACCAATGCAGGGCAATACAGTGGAGGCTTGGGTTTCTTGGGAATAAGTTAGGCGCACAGTTCGGCTTCGGATGGGGTGTTCACTGTCCACCTTGCTTTTGAATGGTATTCAGAGTCTTGGACCATTCAAACGTGTTGTATGTTTGGTTCAAGTTGCATCAGCTGCGGAGTGTAATTTGGTTTGAGTCTCCTGTCCAGGAGGAGGTGGCACCCACATCTGAGAGCGAGCACTTGCTTAGATGAGAGCAGCAAATGCAGGAGTCTTTGCTTTTGCCCAAGCAAACAACCGTCATGAGCGCCTTGTTCGAGGGCCAGAAATTCAATCAAACAACAGATTCCTGTTCCTCGAATCAGCCTTGGTCTGAAAAATATCTCATTCGTGTACAAACGAAGCTCCTTTTTGCAGGTGGCAGTGAACTCAGTGAACTCGCCTAAGGCGACCGATCGGAGGATTTTCGCGCCAAAAAAGGGGTCACTGGGGGCACTTTGTGGGCGCTCCGTCACTTGCACTTCTGAATTCTCCTGCGGAGCAGGTCTTGAAGCAGGGAGGCAGGGCCCGGCTTTCTGGCCAGGTGGAGGTGAAGCGAGGGGCGTCTGGGCTCTATGTCGCTGCCCTCTCCGTCGGCACCCCACCACAGAGGTGCGGGGGTGCTGTGTCCGAGAACATACCCACCAAGTGATCACTCTGGTGTACACCTGAAAACGGATGGCCATAATATACACCTGAATCTCCTAATAGGTACACTGTTTACACATCCCCTGGTGAAGGTTCTCATTTTGTTGTTTCATGAGGTCATGTGCTTCCTTCAACAGGATTTGGATGGCTCTGGACACTGGGAGTAGCTGGTCGTGGATTCCTGAAGCTGAATCAGGAGGGTCAAACCGGACAGGGGTTTCACACCGAACATGCAGGTTGTGTTGTTTTTGTCATCCACGAAAGGAACCCAGATTCATGGTTCATTCAAAGCGACAGTGTGAGGATTTCAACGAAACACAAATGCTTGTCGGCATTCAGGAGAATCTGCTGGGTTCCACACTTCAAAGTCATCCTCAGCAACTTTGGGTGATGAGAAGAGGTGAATCCTTCAACCAAAGCAAGAGACGTCGTTTGTCAAAGTAGCTAGCTGTTTGCAAGGCAGTTCTCGTTTTTCTTGGCGCGTAACGACCTGTTGTACGTTTGTTGTGCGAATGGAAAAGGGCTTTTCTCACCTGACCTTTGCAGCCATTGTCGGTAGCAAGTGGAGCACGTCCTGTGATTGCTGGCTGAACCCCAACTTGGCGTCATGGCAGGGGTGCTTCCAAGTGCGTAATGGAGAGTTCAGAGTCCATTTGACTCTTCAAAATGTGAGATGCGAAGATGGCGCTTGCATTGCTCGGTCATTCTGCGCTTGGCCGCGGCATATCTTTCCAACGTGGCTGTTGAAGTGTTAGCACCGGCCCTCGGAGCGGAGACCTACCTTTGGATTGGCTTCCGGACCAGCAACAGCAGTTCCTACGCCCAAACGGTCGACTTTCCATACCATTCGTTGCTGATTCAAGAGGAGAACACCCTGAGCCAACTTTCGTTTGCTGAGGATTGTTCTTCCTTGGTCGAATTGGCCGGTGGGTGGCCTGGCAGTGTTGCATGCCATGGCGGTCTTCTCCAATTCGATGGACTTCTGAGAGCAGCCACGTGGTATGAAGTGGTGATGCGGGTGAACATTTCGAGTACGGCCGTCGGACCGACGCGCTTGCGTCTTCTGATTGGGAGACAAGGGTCAGTTCCGCTTCCAACTGAAAGCTTTCGAAGCCAAGTAGAGTTCTTTGAGACTTCTTTTGGCACAATTGAAACTGGTCCTGCTGGAGAGTACCACTGGCCCGGTCCTGAACTGAATCTGACGGAGGCCGTTTTGGATATCATCTCACCTCGCACCTTCCTTCTTCCAAGTACTTCTTTCATGGTGCGACTGTCACTTGAGATCCCGGAAGGTAGCTCAGCTCCTACAAGCTTTCTCATTATGGCGCGGCCCTTTACATCATGGTCTTTACACCCACCAGCGGCCTCAGTGATTGCTCCTGGACAGGAAGACCAAACTGCTTCCTGCGTGAACGACATTCGCTTGTCACCCATGATAGACTTTCGATGCTATTGGACATCCTTTGGACAGGCTGAGGATCGTGGGTCAACTGTTTTCATCCTCTCCTACTTTTGTATTCTTTTTTATCCCGCTCTGCCCCCTACTACTTATATATATATAATCAAGTAGGCGCCTACAATTAAGTAAGGGCCAAGTTAGCTTCTAGGTAGGAAGGGGGGAGCTTCCTTGAAGAAGCGCTCGCACTAATCATTTGGTTCCTAGACTTTTAGGGCAACTTAATCATGTGCTTCCTCATTTTTCTTCCTGCGTCTCTTGGACAGCCCTAGCTCCTTCAGTTGAACCTCTCTCCCTGCCGGCAGGATGGACGCCGGCTCAGCGCAAATGGAGTCAAGCTGATCTTTGACATCCTTCCTTTGACATCCTTAAGCTTGGAGTTCTCCGTGAGCTCTCCTGCCCTTGGATCATTTGAAAAATGGCTAGTAGTTGCCTTGGAAGGGGATGGCCGTGCGACCCTGAACTCGAGCCAACCAGCACGAGCTGTCTCACAGAGTGCACATGGCATACTTGTCCAAGCTGCACCCACAACAGAAGTGCTTTCTTATACATCCAGTGCTATTTCCACACTCAACACCTTGAGAGTTCGGGTGATACCTGGAATCACCATTCACGGACAATCAACCCAGACATTAGACTTGGGCTACTTGCAAATATATTTGCCAACGGTGATGGGACAGATGCGCTCTTGCCAGCTGGAACCTCTTGAGGCCTGGAGTGGGTCAATATCATTTGCAGAGAGCTTCCTGACTCAGCTGAACTCAGAGGAGAAGACCTGCAGCATCATTGCAAGTTCCCCCAGTCTTCACTTTTATGCCCAGTCTTCTTACTTCATTGTCGTTAGCTTCTACAACGCTCCAATCCCTTTTCGAGGCCAGGGATCTGCGCATCTCTCCAACAAGCTCATGTGAACATTTTTTGGAAGATCCACCAAAGAGCGGAACATACTAGTAACAAGTGCATCGCTACTAGTAACAAGTGCCTTACTACTAGTAACAAGAAGCTAGTAGTTATATAGACCAAAACTCCTTGGGCCAGGGGTTCTCCGTATTGAAATACACATGGTGGGTGGTTGGGATTTGGAATCCTTCCAAGGCCTCAACTGAGCACCATAGCTCAGTTACCCCGCTCCTGAGGTGATGAATACGCATGGACCCTGGAGCTACGGGCACCGCAGAGTGCAGCACTGTCCTTTCCGATTCCGCCGCCGTTTGATGTGGTCAGCGCTTTCACCCTCTTCCGAGTGAGGATGTCTAGATTGGCTGTGTCACAATCCCAAAATCTGGATCAGCTAGGGCTGGTGCGTATCGACTTCCAACTTGCAGGCGAATCCGAAGGTTATGAGAGTGATGAGCCAGTTTTGTGCTTGCTCGTAAGACCACCAACAGGTTTCTATTTGGGAGATGGACCCGCATGTCCAAGCTTTCAGATTCACACAGGGTTGCCGGCCACAACTTGTACTGTGCAGGGCCTGTCAATGAGCCTTTCCTTCTCTTCACGCCTTGTTCCAGGTGTCCAGATGGCCTTTTCGATAGGTCTTTGGAACCCTACGGCCGGCTTTGTTTTGCAAGGCTACGATACACTCTCCTGGGCCATGGAGTCACGCTACAGCAGCTGTGCTGCCGGGGGGCGATTGCATGCACAACGGGTCGGGCAGTCCTCCCCTTTTGGCTCCTGGCCACAGATCTTGTATCCGCTTTCTTTGGATATCAGCCGAATCAGTGCCAGTAGCATGACGGTTGGAAGCGAAGCCAGTATCAAAGTGCATTTTGTGTTGCCTGTGCCAGTGCAAGCCGGAAGCCGACTCCTAGTTTCTGCACCATATGAGTGGAAAGAGACCTCGAACATTGAGACCTCCGCAGCACTGACCGGAGCATCAGCCTCTTGGACCCTCCAGCTGCCTGAAAAGGCGGACCATGCGACCGAGCTGTTGATGGAAGTTGATGCACCTGGCCTCTTGTCGTTGGTGACTTATGGATTTGTGGCCACAGTGATTCACCCTGTCACTGTGCACTTAGAAGATCCACCATGGTGGAGTTTGGAGGTTTTCGGAAGTGTGAGCTTTGGCAAAGGATATCGCGAGGATCCCACCACTTTGCTTCCTTTCGATACTCGCTTTGCGGCAGGCACTGTGCCAGGGTATAGCTTGCGAAGACTATGCGAATGTGAGGTCATTCCCTGGAGGAACGAAATTGGAGGTAGCAGTCCTGTTTTGCTGCGCTTTTTCGTGACAGTGGCCATCGAGCGGACTCTGGTGGTCCCTGTACTGGTGGTCTCACCCCCGTTGGCTTTCAGCTTCACTCAACCCTGTGAAGCCCTTGCACCGCGTCCAAGTTCCGCAGAGATGTCTCGCCAGCCACTGGAAGGGATTTGCAAGAACAACCCGACCAATACGAAAGTTTGGTCCGAATCTCATCCTGCCACTGACATAGGAACCTGACAGGGGTTTTCTGGGACGGTGGGTGCTCCGTGAAAATGCGACTGAGGGTTGAGATCAGCGAAAGCGTTGCAGCCTTCGTGCCATATGTGCTGGAGATTTGGAGTCTGCAGGCTGGGAGGGACAAGGATGCGCAGGGGGGCATATGTGACATGGTTCTTTGATGCTTTCTTTTGTCTTTTCCTTAAAAAGGCCTTTGTTGATGATCGTATCAGAAACGGAATCAACAGCCATACGCTGCATTCTTTCTTTCTTCGCTCGTGCAGATGCCGAATCAACTAGCGGTGCAGGAAGCTTATGGAGGTATGCTTGAGTAGAGGGGCTACGTTTGCAGCATGAGCATGCTAACCATTGCTCAGTCGTGCCGAGGATTGGAAACGTGTGGACATTGCATTTGCAGAGGAAGATCGAGCTCGCGGACCAGACGCTGCCGCACGGCCAGGAGGCGTCACACGGATGGAATCCGCCACGCCGGGGAAGGCCGGCGAGGCCGGCGGTCCGACATCCAGGTGGCTCAATGTGACCGTCAAGGTTTTGGTCCTGCTTGGTGCTGCTGGCACGGGTTGGAGATGCTGCAGTGATCAGGCAGATTTTCGGATTCTGCCAGGCCATTGCCAAAGGCTTTGGTGGACTTCCGCTATGCCTCCTTCCGCCCCTCGGCTATGTCGCAGGTCTCAGCCTCAGATTGGGCGCGCCACGGCCGAGTTTGCTTGCCAATTGCCATCAAGCTGATTTGGTTTGTAAAAATCTCTTCCACTTCCGCCGCTTGGCATCGCTGGAGGTCACTTTTCTCTTCGGAACGCGCGGGAGCTCAAGCTGCGAAAACCCACGACTTTGGAGCTGTCACTCTCGTGAGGCCTGAACCGACCATGGGGGACTTTGTCCTTGGCATTGATGGGCCTGTGAGCATCCAAGCACGGGGTGAAGCTGTCCATGTGGACTTCAGCTCAACCAATCTCTTAATATGGGGATCAAGAACGGGATTTGCAGATGCACTCAGGTGGGTGCCTCATTTCCACTGGATTGCAGCTCCTCCATGGTTGATTTGGTGGCAAATTTGGCATCTGCCCAGTTCTTGGAGATTTGCTTCTTTGAAGTGTGGCTTGTTGGTTTCATCATGTTTCATCAGACTCCAGGGTCGACTCAGGCTGCCCTGCCTGGACGATTTCTGTCATGCCGGGCTCTTTTCTTCGAAAGAAAACACGACATGTGCAATTCTGGTGGTGAGATTGGCCTAGAGCCTAGAGGGATTAGTGACGAGGTGTTGGGCGTGGTGGAGATAGCGACAGAGCATTGGCTCGGCTGGAGTCTAATATCCTGACCCCCAAAAATGATCTGGATTTGACATTGATATGCTCCCACAGCCCTTCCTTGGGCCTTGGAAAGTGTGAACACAGTGAACATAGTTCCCCTCTGGTGATCTGGTGACAACCTCACGGCCCGTCACCCTGAGGCTGTCCTTTCAGGATCAGGGATTCGGTGGCTTGGTGGTGGGAGAAATCTATGGCCTTACTCTTCAGGCCTTTGAAAAAGAAAACACAACAAATCAGATGGGAAAAGCCTTTATGCAGCTGTGAGCACTGGAATCCTGTTCCAGACCGCCGGCCCTTCTCAAAAGAAAAAAGCTTCCAACATTCGCGCCAGGTCATGAATCGGCCCTTCATTAGTGGCCTGTGGGATGCCTGGGGAAGAGTTATAGGGCTGTGATGGACAGTTGGTGTCAAACAAGTTCGTGAGGTCAAAGCACTCCAACAGCTGGCGCATCTCCATTAGTGACCCATTGTGGTATGCAAGTGAGGTGAAGCGCCTCGAACACACTTCTCAAGCAATCGATCTTTCGACGTTTGATCAGGCGATTTCAGCTGGCCTGCCGCTCTATCCTCAGAATTGGCGACAGAAACCACCACCACAGGCGCCGCGGACACATCATGCCTATCTTTGCGAACGCGACAAGGTCCTATGACATGACTGAACCTGCAGCAATAGACTTCCGAGTCTCCAGTCAAAGATCTACAGATCCTCACTCACTGGTCACTAACTCAGCACTCTGGCCACGGGCCACACTGGGTCGAGAGATTTTTGCGTTGTTTGGGCTTGTAAAAAGTAGACAAACGAAGGAGCAAGGACGCTACTAGGGCAAAAGGCATCGCTACTAGGAGCAAGGACGCTACTGGGGGCTCCTGGCCTTACTACTAGGAACAATGTTTGCCATTAGAAACAATAAATAAATAGAATTTGTATCTTAAGGTTGGGCCTGAAAAAGCCAACGTCACCCTTCGCTTTACCCTGCCAGAGGCTGGAATGAGGAAGAGCATATCTCACAAGCCACCCGTCGAGTGACCGCTGTGTCGAGGCGCAGCCGGCTGGCACTGAGCTTTGGATCTTGGCGCCAGCTGACAGCTTCAGGTTCACGAGGTGGGGACCTATCTCTTGTGGTGCAGACCGCGGGACGACTGAGCAGGCTGAGCAGTAGCACTATGCACTTGGGAAGTTTGTTTAGTAAGCCACCCGGAAGGTACATAGAGGACGCTACTAGGAGCAAAGGGCATCGCTACTCCTGGCCTTACTACCAGGAACAAGAACGCTACTAGGAGCTTTTTTCGCAGATTGTGGATATTTTGGGTGAGGCCCTGCCGCATTGGAAGGCCGGATCAGCTGGCCGGAGCCCCGACAGATGGTGACAGCGAATGAGACTTCTCACAAAGCAGCCAGTGGTACTCCAGGTCACATGAGGAACCTAGTAACAAGAAGCTACTAGGAACAAGAAGCTAGTAGAAACAAGTG